CCCCCCACCTCTGTGGGCACCTAGCTCCCTTGCAATGCTCCCCTTTCTTTATATTTGACTGGCTCCTCCTCCTCCTTAGTCGTCGTCGTCGTCTTCTTCTTTCTTCTTCTTCTTCTTTTCTTTTCTTCTTTTCTTCTTCTTTTCTTCTTTTTTCTTCTTCTTTTTTCTTCTTTTCTTCTTTTCCCTTTTTCTTCTTTTTTTTCTTCTTTTTCTTCTTCTTCTTTTCTTCTTCTTCTTTTTTCTTCTTTTCTTTTTTCTTCTTCTTCTTTTTTCTTCTTCTTTTTTTCTTCTTCTTCTTTTCTTCTTCTTTTTTTCTTTTCTTCTTTTTCTTCTTTTTCTTTTTCTTTTTTCTTCTTCTTTTTCTTCTTCTTCTTTTTCTTCTTCTTTTTCTTTTCTTTTCTTCTTTTTTTCTTCTTCTTCTTTTCTTCTTCTTTCTTTCTTTCTTCTTCTTTTTCTTCTTTTTCTTTTCTCTTCTTTTTCTTCTTATTTTTTCTTTTTTTTCTTCTTCTTCTTTTCTTCTTCTTCTTTTTTCTTCTTCTTCTTTTCTTCTTCTTCTTCTTCTTCTTCTTCTTCTTCTTCTTCCACTTAAAACAGGACATCTCCACTGCCTCCAACCGTCTCCTCGCTGCTGCATTTACCACCCAAGCTTCACACCCATATAAGAGTGTTGGTACTACTATACTTTCATACATTCCCTTCTTTGCCTCCATAGATAACGTTTTTTGGGCTCCACATATACCTCAAAGCACCACTCACCTTTTTTCCCTCATCAATTCTATGATTAACTCATCCTCATAATCCATCCCCGACACGCAACTCCCAGTATCTGAAATATTCACTTCTCCATACTCCTCATCCCAATTTGTATCCAATTTTTCTTTATCTAAATCATTTGATACCCTCATCACCTTACTCTTTTCTATGTTCACTTTCAACCTTTCTACTTTAACACATTCCCAAAATCATCCCCTAAACCTTTGCAATTTTCTTTAAAAATTCCATAAGCACAGTATCATCAGCAAAAGTAACTGTTTTCAATTCCCATTTTGAATTTGATTCCCCAAAATTTAATCCCACCCCTCTCCCGAACACCCTAGCATTTTTCTTCATTTACAAAACCATCTATAAAATTTTTATTAAACAAAACCCTGGTGACATTTTTCACATCCCTGTCTAAGACCTACTTTTACTGGGAAGTAGTCTCCCCTCTCTTCTACACACCCTAACCTGAGCCTCACTATCCTCATAAAGCTCTTTACAGCATTTAATAACTTACCACCTATTCCATATACAGTGGACCCTCGACCAATGATGGCATCGATTAACGATAAATCCAACCAGCGATACATTTTAACGCAAAAATTTTGCCTCGACTAGCGCTAAAAAACTCGACCAACACGATTCGTTCCGTCTGAGACGCTTCCTTCTGGCCAGTGTTTACAAACCCGTAGCCACCACGGTCGCTTCCCAACATACAAACGGAAAATTTTTATTTCACAGCCTTTTAGTGATTTTACCTGCAAAATAATCATGTGAAGGTTTTTAAAGCCAACAGTTTAAATTTGAGCATTTGCCCATGGGGTGCATAAGTGTTTCAATCTTCAAAAAAAGTCCCCCGGGGCCCCCAAGAAGCTTCTAGTGCCAACCCCTCAGCAAAAAGGGTGAGAATTCTATGGTATGGAGAAAGAGACTTGCTAAGTATAAAGTGGAGTGCGTGTTCCAGGTTGTACACAAAACCCCCCAACCCCAAACCCTCGTATTGTGGCAAAAAAAAATGGCATCAAGGAAGCAGTTTTGCCCAAAGGTTTCAACTTGTTTTTGAAACTGAATCGCAAGTGATAGAAAATGTTGAGAGATGTTATTGGGGTGAAAACAAAAACAGAAACGGGATAGATCTCTCAAGCGTTTATATGTGAAAAAGGGTAGGAAGTTGCATGAGGATCTAATTAGAAAAATGCCAGCAAATAGTGGGATGTGAGTGAAATTTTAAAGGGCCCGCAAAGGTTGGTTGGAGATTTAAGAAACGTAGTGGCATACTGGTGTAAAGGGATGGTGAGGCGCCAGTTTGGACCAAAAAGCAACGAAAAAATATTTGCAGGAAATTTAAGGGTACATGACGTGAAGAATTGAAACCTGAACAGTTTTATTGTGACACGACAATGTTGTGAAAAACTTTAGGAAGTTAAAAGGGGAAAGGGAGGTAAGGCTTATGGACGATTGTTGTGCGACAGGGGTCCCGTGACTTCAATTGGTCCCAGTGGCATTTAAAAAAGGGAAGTAACCCCCAAAAAGGACTTGCTATCTCAAGTCCTAATGGAAGGGGATTCCCTTTTAAAAACAAACACCATCAATACTCTCCCTCCTCCCATTCCATCAATCATCACCCGTCTTCAATAAGGAAGGGGTCAGTAACTGGCATGTCTTTTCAGTTTTGTGGTTTTAAAAACAAATTTATGTGGCAAAAAAAAATTTTTCAATACTTTGGGGTCTTGCCCTGGTTAAATTTTATTTTATTTTTTCTTTGGGGGGAAAATTTTAAATTGACTAACGATAATTTGATTAATGTGACTCTCAGGAAGGTTAATACGCTGGTCGAGGGTCCTGTACTTGAACATCTGCCGCATTGCTCCTCTATCCACCTTTTAGCCTTTTCTAAATCCATAAAAGCAAAAAAAACTTCCCTACCTTTTTTTTAAATATGTTCACATATATGCTTTAAAATAAACAATTGATCTACACACCCCTCCCCTCTGAAAACCTCTTGTCATCCACAATCTACATTTGTCTTCCTTAATTCTTTCAATTAAACCCCACCCGTACATTTTTCCGGGTATACTCAGTAAACTTATTCCTCTAAAATTTTTACAGTCTCTTTTTTCCCCTTTCCCTTTTTAAAAAGGGACTATCATGCTCTCCCCAATCCTTGGTCCCTTCCCCCTTTCTACATTTTAAAAAAAAAAACATAAGTACCAACCCTAAACTTATATACCCCCTGTTTTAACTTTTTGTTGATCCCATCATTTCCCAGCTGCTTTACCCCTTTCATTTAGTAAGCCTCCGACCCCCCCCCACCTTTTTTGCTCTTCTTCACTCCAAAAGATAGTTTTCCCTCCCTCACCAGTGCATAAAATTTTCCCCTCTCTTTTTTCCCTTAACTTTTAATTTCCTCAAATATTCTCGCCATCTCCTAATTCCTCCTTCCCCCCATTACAAACCCCCCTACTTTTTTTTAACTGAAAAATCCATACTTTCCCTGGGCTTTCTTAATTTATTTAACTCCTAAAAATTTTTTTTTTTTCTTTAAAAATTTTTTGAAGTGCCTTCCCCTGTATCTCTGCTTTTCCTTTTGCACCTCTCACCACTCTCTTTCCCTTTTCTTTTCTCCCCTATACTCTGCTTTTTTATAACATTTCTGCTTTGTAAAAACCTCTCATAGCTAACTTTTTCTTTTTATCCACCCTTTATTCATAATTCCCCCAAATCACTCTCTTTTCCTCCCCCACCTCCTTTAAAAACCCCAAACTTTTGCCCCCATTTAATACTGTTTTTAAACTTTCCCAAACCCCCTTCAACCCCCCCACTACTCATTTTGCACTAGCCACCTTTCTGCCAAAGTCCTTTTTTCTCACCGAACTTTCCCCCTCCCCTTTGTTTATACACTTTACCCCCCTCTTCTTGTTGTTTCCCCTTCCCCTTTTTTCCCCTCTACTCTTTCTTAACTGTAGCTACAACTAAATAATGTTCCCTATATCGTGCCCCCCTTTTAAAAATGTACATTGGAGCCTACCCTCAACCTTTTATCCAATACACAATTAAAAAAATACTTTTCATTACGTATAAACTACCTTTTAATTTTTTATCCTCTTTTTCATAAATATGTATTACTTTTACCAAATCTCTTTCTACAATAGCTAATAAAGGCTCCCCCTTTACATTTACCCTGGCACCCCAAATTTACCTACTACTCCCCCTTTTAACATTTTTACCCCCTTTAGCATTGAAATCCCCCAAACCCCCTTACCCACATTGATTCAAAACTCCCCACAAATTCACTCAACATTTCCAAAATCTCTCTCTCTCTCCCCCTTTCACTTCTCTCTTCTCCAGGGGCTTTCGTTATTATAAAACCCCTTTTTACATCCATTTTATTTTACTCCCCATAATCCTTTTAATTAATCATTATGTCCCCCTTTTCCTGCCTAGCTTTTTCCCTTTAACATTATTTCTACCCTTTTTGCTTAACTCTATTTAAAACCCCCGCCTAACCCATTTATTCCTTCCCTTGAAAAACTCCCCCCCCCCTTCGCTTTTTTTCACTTAAAGCCAGGCATCCCGCTTCTTTTTTCATAAAATCCACAAAATTCTTTCCTTTTCATTTTTCACAAATCCCCGCACATTCAGACTTCCCACTTTTACATTTTCTTCTTTTATTCTTTTTAGTAATCTTTTCAGGGAAAAAGGGGTCACTAAACCCATTGTTCCGGGGATTTTATTGACTTTTACAACACGCATGGCTTATGGAGGAAAGTTTTATTCCATTCCCCATGGTATAAAGGAAAAGTAATAAGACCAAAAACTTTAAGATAAATCAAAAAAAATCAGATGAGTGTGTTAAAAAAAATGTGTACTGTATGGTAGTGTGACCCCAAGTGTAAGTAGAAAAAAAGCAAGACATACCTGTAATCTTGCAATTTTTTTGAGACAGACAAAAGCATCAGCAATCCCACCATCATGAAAAACAATTACGGCTTTCGTTTTCATCCTTGGAGGACGGTAGTCCCCTCCCTGGGTGGTGCTGTCACAACTTTAATTTCTTATGGAAAATTATTTGGGTATTCAGCCATTTCGGTTTTAGGCCGCCCTTCGGGAACAGATTAGACTGATAACCGAGGGTTCACGTATGGAAATCATATTCCCAAAAAATGCAATTAACAGTTTTTAAACTAAAACTAACTAACAAAAAGGGTTTTTATTGGGGATATTTTATTTTCACTGCCCTTTTTGAGGACTACTGACGGTTCCAAAAAACCCCCAAAAAAAGCAAGAAAAGTCCGTAGCCAATGATAAAAGGATGCCAACATCACAATCCACGTGCCAAATGAAAAATTCCCCCCTACCCTCTGAATGGGGAAATCATGTAGTTTTCAATGGCAAACTAATGAATGAAAAAAAAAAAAAATTAAAAAAAAATAAGAAAAAGATATAATTAACACACTAATAAAAAGATTAAAAGAAAAAAGATTACAAACCTAAAATTAAACCAAAAATGAAACCTTTTAAAAGAGTGTCGAACACCTCTCTTGAAGGGTCTTGTTTAAAAATTTAAGGGAAAGTGGGTACCTTTCCCCTTCCTTAAAGAGAATGAGAGACAAAATGAGGGGAGGGTTGAAGGAGAAAGATAATTAGATGGGAAGATGGAGGGGACTGAGCTCCCCCCCATTGTTTAGACAGGCGTAGGGGGATGAGAAAGATACAATATGTCTTTGACAGCTGATCAGCACATTTAGAAGTCCAAACACACAACAACAAAAAGCTTGCTAAAGATAATAGCAGTTTTATAAAAGTGCCCAGTGACTAATTATGTAAATTTTTATAGAAACCAAAAGGGAAGGGATGAATAAAAAAAGAAAAATGAAGACAAAAAAAGGTAGGTGGGAAAGGGAATGATGACACATTTCCCTAGGAGGAAAGGGGAGTGATTGGTGGAATAGAAGAAAGGGTTTGTGAAAAAAAGAGAAAAAGCAGTTACGGAGGTTTTTCAAAGCAGAAGTGTTAAAAAAGAGAGAGTAATGGAGAGTAAAAAAAAAGGTGAAGAGAGTGGTGAGAGAGTGAAAAAAGGAAAGGCACATGAAAGAGTGGGGAGGCATGTCAAGAAATTTTAATAAAATAAAAAAAAAATTTTGGAGTGAGTTAAACAATTTAAAGAAACCTGGGGGAAAGTATGGATTTGTCATTTAAAAAGAGTAGGGGAGTTGTAGATGGGGGGGTGGAGGTATTAGGTAGATGGCCCGGATTTTTTGAGGAATTTTAAAATGTTGGGGAAGAAAGGGAGGCGGAAATTTTCATCATGGCCGGGAGGTATACCATTTTTAGGAGTAAAGAAGAGCAGAAGTAAGTGTGGTGGGGGGTTAAGTGAGGCATTATTTGAATGAAAGGGGGTAAAGCAGCGGAACTGATGGGATCATGACGAAATGTTAAAAGCGGGGGGGGATTAGTGTTAAAGGGGTTTGGGTTTACTTTTGTTTAATAAATGTTGAAAGGGGGGAAGGTCCCTGGGGGATTGGGGAGAGTGTGTATAGTTCCTTTTTAAAGGGAAAGGGGACAAAAGGATTGAAAAATTTATAGAGGAATAATTTACTGGTTACCGGAAAAGTATAGTAGGTTATAACTGAAAAAATTTAAAGGGGTTTAAGACGAATGTAGAATTGGGTTGGCAAGGGGGTTTCAGAGGGGTGGGGTTTTTGTAGATAAGTGTTTCATTGAAACATATTTGTGAACAGTTTTTAGAAAAAGGTAGGGAAGTTTTTATTGCTTTTGGATTTTGAAAAAAAAAGGGATAGATAGGGGATGAGGAGAATGTGGCAGTGTTGAAGTATATGGAAAAGGTGGTAAGTTACTAAATGCTGTAAAGTTTTTTGGGATGTGAGGTTGGTTGGGGATGTGAAGGAGGGAGTTTCCTGGTAAAAAATGGTCTTAGCAGGGGTGTGTAATGTCACCTGGTTGTTAATATATTTATAGTGGGGTTGTAAAAGAAGTAAATGTAGGGGTTCGGGAGAGGGGTGGGGGTTAAATTTTTTTTTTTTTTTTTTTTTTTTTAATCACACCCGGCCGATTCCCCAGGCAGGGTGGCCCCAAAAAAAAAAATTTACCATCATTCTCCATCCTGTTTGCCAGAAGGGTGCTTTACACTACAGTTTTTTTAAACGCAACATTAACACCCCCCCTTCGGTGCAGGGGACTGTCTTCCCCTCTCCGGATCAAGTCCGGCCCGCCGGTTTTTCCCGAATCCCTTCTAAATGTTTCTTTTCTCCACCCCCAAAAGCAGTCAAGTATTAAAAACCATTTGTCTCCATTCATCCCATCAAAAAAAGCTCACGCATGCCTGCTGGAGTCCAAGCCCCCCGCACACAAAACCTCTTTTCCCCCTCCCCCCAAACCCCTTTCCCAGGCCGACCCCACCCCCCCTTCCTTCCACTCAGACTGTACACTCTTTAAGTCATTCGTTTCGTCCTTCTCTCTAATGCCGAACCACCTCAAAACCCTTTTCCCCAGCCCTCGGACAAACGTTTTGGTAATCCCGCCCTCTCTAACTTCCAAACTACGAATTTTTCGATTATTTCCACCACACATTTCCCCCAGCATGACTCTCCACGGCCCCCAGCCTTTCCCTCGCTGAAATTCATCACCCCGCTTCACACCCATTTTGAGCGTTTGGTTAAAACTTACTCTATACATTCCCCCCTTTGCCCAGGACAAAATTCTTTGTCTCCCCAGACCCTAAGTGCACCACCCTTTTTTCCCTCATCAAATTTTAGATTCCCCTCATCTTTCTAGACCCATCCGCTGACAGTCCCCTCCCAAATATCTGAATTTCGTTCACTCCTCCATACTCTCTCCTCCAAACGATATTCAATCTTTCTCACCTAATTTTTTGTTATCCTCAAACCTTACTTTTCTGTATTCACCTTTAATTTTTTCTTTTGCAACCCTACCAAAATTTACCCCCAATTTTCTAACTTCTTTCAGAAACTCCCAAGAGCACAGTGTCATCGCAAGAGCGCGTTTTAAAAATCCCACTTTGTGTGTGTTCTTTATCTTTTTAAATCACGCCCCTTTTCCCAAGACCCTCGCATTTTCTTCTTTACAACCCTTTAAAAATTTTTAAACAACCACGGTGACACACACATCCTTGTCTAAGGCTATTTTCGGGAAAAAAATTTCCCTCTTTCCTACATACTCTAACTTGAGCCTCACTATCCTCGTAAAAAAAACTCTTCACTGCTTTCAGTAACCTACCTCCTACACCATACACTTGCAACATCTGCCACATTGCCCCCCTATCCACCCTGTCATACGCCTTTTCCAAATCCATAAATGCCACAAAGACCCCTTTAGGGCCCTTATCTAAATACTGTTCACTTATATGTTTCAAATGTAAACACCTGGTCCACACACCCCCTACCCTTTTCCTAAAGCCTCCTTGTTCATCTGCTATCCTATTCTCCGTCTTACTTTAATTCTTTCAATTATAACTCTACCATACACTTTACCAGGTACACTCAACAGACTTATCCCCCTATAATTTTGGGACTCTCTTTTATCCCCCTTTTCCTTTATACAAAGGAACTATGCATGCTCTTTCCAATCCCCAGGTACCTTACCCTCTTCCATACATTTTTTAAATAATTGCACCAACCACTCCAAAACTATATCCCCACCTGCTTTTAACATTTCTATCTTTATCCTCAATCCCGGCTGCCTTACCCCCTTTCATTTTACCTACTGCCTCACGAACTTCCCCCACACTCACAATGGCTCTTCCTCACTCCTACAAGATGTTATTCCTCCTTGCCTATACACGAAATCACGCTTCCCTATCTTCATCAACATTTAACATTCCTCAAAATTTCCTTCCATCTTCCCAAAAACTTATCTCCCTTTAATAAAATCTCCTCTCCATTTTTAACTGACAAAACCATTTTTTTTAACTTTTTAATTTTCTCATCCAAAACTTTTTCTTATTTTAACAAAATTTGTTTATAACATTCACCACTCTCTCATTTCTCTTTTTTACATTTTTCAATCTTTAACTTCTTCTTTTTTCCATTACTCTTCCCTCCTTGACACTTCTACTTTGTAAAAACTTTCAATGCTAAAATTTTTCTCCCTTTTACTTTTCTTTACATCATCATTCCCCCCAATCGCTCCTCTTCCCCCCGCACCATTTCCCGTAACACAAATTTTGCTGAACCCTAACACTAATTT